AGGAATGCCTTTATGTCTTACACACATGAACAATTCCTTTGTCTAATCACAGTTCAATAAATTGTCATGTAAGTACAACCAGAGATGGCGTGCACAAAACCTGAAAACCTTCTGAGTGAGAAGCTGAAGCTCCTGACCAGCCCAGGAGGACTCCATTTAGATTCTGTGCCTGCAGTTGATTTCAAATTACTCAAGTAGCATAGCTTTTTTTTCATGAAGATTAAAGCAATCCAGTATCTAGTCATATATTAAGTACATTCAAATATGAAATAGTTAACTCGCTGCTTGAGTTGAGAGCTTCAATTTCTAAGCAATAAAAAAGATGTTCAGTTCTGAAAATCAGGAATAAACAGTTGATTCTTGTAACTTCTTTTCTTCCTATGGCTTCAAAACAGAATTTTGGATCATCAGTCTGGAATTTTATACTGTTTTTTACAATACAAAATTGCAGCATGTTTAGGAACAATTTTCTCAGTTACAATGAATTCTGAAAACCTGATCTTCAGAAATAAAATAGCTGCAAAACCCTTCTGAAAACTAATTTCATTTCCTTTAACCCATCTGCTTAAACTGAAACAATCTCAATAAATAATTTAAATAGGAAAACTGGTGCAAATCAGTTTAATTTTCCTAATAATTATTTGTTTGCATCTTTCTTACATTTTTTTAAATTTTAAGTACTGCATATAAAGAAATAAAAGAGAGAAATGCTTGCCTGAACATTTTGAAATGGATTCTTGTTACCATAGGATTCACCGTGGTATGTGAAATCATCTATGCTAAGCTGAAAAACAAAGAGTAGATTGGTGAGAAGGAGCCACAGCATCTCATGTAGGTACAGACTTGCAGTCGGCATTGGTGAGAGAAAAGGAATTAATGTCACATACTGTATCTTGCAGGAACAAGATGAGATTTCTGGAATTCGGGCTAAAAACAGGTTGCAAGAGTGCAGTCAGCTCCTGTGTTGAGACAATGTGTCCTTCGTGCAAAGCAGCGTCTGGATTCCACTGTGATCTAGAAAGAAAATGTTTTGGTTTTTTTCTGTAAAATTTGCTAAATTTTGCAATCTGTAAAAGATTACACCTCTACTTTCTTGAAATATGCAGTAGCAGTATCTTTGAATTAAGATCAGATTTACAGTTCAGTTTACTTTCATTCTACTCAAGAGAAAAAGACCTTGACCATTTATGCCCATATCACATTAGCTGTGTTACAGCAGGAGTGAAGTTGGTCCAATCAAGATGTTTTCATGATGAAGGAACGACTGCAGAAGCAGCTCAAAAAAGCCACCTTTCTCTCTTCTGAACAAAATGGCTCAAGACACCAAGAAAAGCTAATGATGCTCTTGCTAACCTGTCATTACAAGCATTGGACAGAGGAATAACTCATCCACCGTCTACTTGCTTTTACTACTACAAAAAAACAGTTATGGGCAAAACAAGAGGTAGCATTAGTCTATAGGGATGAGTTTTATTACGAAATTTATTTTGAAAATTTTGGTCCTAGTTGTCTTGACTACGGTAAAATTGTCATTCTGTGGAAACCCCAAAGCTTGAAGCTTAATCTCAAATCTTCCCCAAACACACATCAGTTGCTAAGGCCTGAGAAGCCAGGTATTCCAGACCCTCTAAATGGTTCTAATTACAAAGAATAGGATACAGAGAATTGCTGTGTGCTGTAGCATAAGCTATTATATGATTGCAATTTGGTGAAGTTAAGATGTTTATTAAATTTTCTAACCCAAAAGCAGTTTGAAAATGACCCTTGCACAGCAAGCTTTTATGAATGAAAACAACCTTTGTAGTCTCTTAAGATGGAGGCAAAACAAGGGTAATGAACACATAGGCTGGTTTCAATATTGCTTCTCAGATAAGAAAAAAATCTACATTTCACGTCAAGACTTCCCAGTAATCCCAATGAAGTTTACCAGGAGTGCATCAGAAGCCTCCAACTGCCCCCCATGAAGAGATAAAAACCGTACAGTCCTGCAGCAGTAGATACCTCGCTCCCTTCAGAGGCTGGGGTTTGGGTGAGCGTTAGAGCAAACAGTGCATGTGGAGGACTCTTTCAGAGCAATGTGCTGTAGATGTTTAAATTAAATTAAATTCTAGTAGATCTTCTGTCTGTCACTTTTCAAGCTTTAGAAGTAAACCCTGCTGTGCAGGAAAGAATATTTTCTTTTCGGTAGAAATTATCATTTGATATTTTCTTAGTTTTACTCAGCATCTTCACTTCTTTAAATTGTGCTTGGAAATCCATATTAATTTATATTTATCAAGACAAACAATTTAGAAATTGTAACAGAATTGCCTCAACTTTTCAGAAAAGTCAAACCTCACTATCTCAAATATTTAAGTATAATCTTTTAAAATAAGATATATGAAAACACAAAAGCTCCCCAAGATTCTGAATGACTACTCAGGAACTGACTTTCATACTGACTTTATGCATTTCATGGCCACACCAAAATATTAATGATATTAAAGGAAAATATGATAGAATAAATTAAGAGATGTTAAAAAATGGCTTCTGTGGAAGAAAATGATAGTATTAGGAAAAAAAATATTTTCTTTGAGAGCTTTAGGGACTTGCAATTAAGAATAAAAAGCAACAGAAAACATGAAACAAAACTAAGTTATTTGAAGCAGCACAATGGCAAAAGCTTTTGTTTTGAACTCAAAACCTCAGAACTTTAATGACCCTTTTTTAAAGTATACTTGCTTCTAAGGTATTCCCTGGTCCTTGAAGCAGCTCTTGCTAACTAGCTAACCTTGAAAAACACCTTTTGTGAGACATTTTAGCTTCCAAGCAGTCAGCTTCAGTAGCTCCAGCAACATTATTAGAAAAATAAATCTACATCAGTGAATTAGTGAATAATTCCATTCTAATGCAGCACTTGCATAACACTTAAATTCACCATATTATACACACATTATTTTGCTGCTTTTAAATAGTTTGCTGAGCACTATGGCACATGGCAGCAGGCGAGGCTACATCCTTCTCTTAAAGGGCTGCTACTTTCACCTGGGTGCAACACGACGTTGAGACAAGAAATGCCAGTATGTTTTACCACCTGGTTTACTGTGAACTGCAGAGCAAAATGGAGATACGTGACTGTTACAGATACTTCATCGTGGATAGGCTAAAGTTATGCTTTACTGAATGCAAAGAACTAGTCCATCCCTTTGAACTCTTCACCTCAAGCAGGCAGCAAGAGATCAGTAAAGGATGGCACAGGTTGAAACAGGCAGTAGGCCAGCACATGTGTTGATTGCTACTATTGATTGCGCACACATTTTATGTCTAAAGAGGCACAGCCGTGTGCAGTCAGCTGCGTGCCGAGCACATCCGACTGAACCTCTCCACCTTAGAGCCTTCCTGGGATCCTCAGCCATTGAGGTTTGTAATGGTGAGCATCTCTGCTGATCTGTGTGCTTTGCTCCTGGCTAAAAAGGAGGAAACCTAAAACTCAGCTGTTCTCCTTCCTCCAATAGCCAGAAAAGGCACAAAAAGGCACGAAAGGGCATGAAAGGGCACGAAAAGAAAAAAAGAAAAGAAAAGAAAAGAAAAGAAAAGAAAAGAAAAGAAAAGAAAAGAAAAGAAAAGAAAAGAAAAGAAAAGAAAAGAGAAAAAAAAAGAAAAAAGCTCAGCTTGGTATTTTGCTTCTTTCTCATCCCTTACTGCTCTGGCATGACAAGAAGTTTTAAGCATACAGATTCTTCTCTGACCAGTGCTCTTTCTAGGCAGAACTGAGATTTGAGTACTTATTTTAGATGGAAGCAAAGATTTCAAATTTCTTGTCTCTGGACCTACCAGAAGGGCAGATGGTACGATAACAGGACTTCTATCACACTAACTTGTGAGCTTACAATGTTGCTTTGTAGCTGGCTTCTGAACTCTGTCCTACCTGGTGTTCTTGTCACTTGTCTCTTTCTGTCACCACATGATTAGCATATAAGAAACAGTATTTTCTCCTGCACAGCAGAAGTAAACAAGCAAATTAAAAAAAAATTTTGAAATGACCTTTAAATATCAATTCTATAACACAAAGCTCACATCTCACCATTACTAGTAGCAGCAGTAAAAGGAAAACTGGTGTTTATAGGAAAAAAAAAACCAAGAAGCTATTCAAGATGCTAGCACACAGTATCTCCATAGAAGTCCAATAAAGTTACAGCTGAAACATTTTTCTTTTCCACTATATCCTTTCTATGTTCCACCTTCTTCCATCAGATTTTTCCGTAAATTGCTTGCAGTTTTAGGAAGCACTGCAAATGTACTATCTGGCATTCATGCCTTCTCAAAGTCACTTACAATTTGGATTTGCCAGGAAAGGATTCATTTCCCAATATAAGCATAGCATAAGTGAAGGTAATATATTTTCAGACTGTAGGCAAAAATAATTCCTAAAGCAAACACATGAGGGAGCAATCACAGATTTAATTATTTCCTCAAGCTCCCTCTGATCTGTGGAGGGAAAGAAATTCTTTCTTTCCAAGAGGAACTTCTCTGTCTTTCCTGTTTTGAAGAGCAGCCAGGGGATATTAGTTTAAAGGCTAATTTAAGATAAAGGTCAAAGTTATTTGAAGAATGTCCACTAATATATTAGTTCTCCTTTGTGAAAAGCAGGACACTGTGACTTACTGAGTTATTCCTACTTCATCTGTCTCTAATGGAGAAAGACTGCGGTTTAGTAGCAAACACTTATTTTTCTCTAAGTAGAGACCTGCATTTTTCTTCCTGGAGGAAAGAAGTATTTGATTTACTAATGTCCTTGTAAGGATTTATACCGCACTTCCTTTATGCTTTGCACACCACATGTGTTTGTCAGTTGTGGATTTCATCTATATCTGACTCTTAACATTATCTTTAATAGCATAATTACAGTACAATAATAATGCATAAACAAGAGACTTCAAAGTGTTACAGCTCTTCTAATATAGCTGCTCTGAGATACTGCTTTACAAACACTGGCTTGTTCTAAAGAAAGAGCAAATGCATTATCCTTCAGCTATTTGATATGATTGGTGAATCTCAGCTTCTACTGATCAATTAATTACTGAAGTTTTAAGCTGGTGGGACATGTTTCCACTAAGTGAAGAGAAATCCACTGATAATTGCTGGTCTGCTTTAGTTACCCTTCCCAAAACTCTTAATAGTAGTTTCCAGATTTCATAAACCTGTAGGTCACACACTGCAAACCTTGCATCACTGCAAAGTACCAAGATGTTAAGCTTAGAGTGGAGGGTTAACAGCTAACTGTTTCTTTATTTTATAAAATAACATCATTCTCATTTCCTGTTGCTTCATTGGCTTTCACCAGAACTGATTTCTGACCCACAAGAACTTCCCCTTTCAAAAATGCAAAGGTCATGGTAGAAGAAACACTTCTTCCAGAAAATGTTCTGTTCCTGGAAACATGAAACTGGTTTCATCAGTCCACCATCCTGATTTTCTTGCTCTAGATTTGTACAGACCTGAACAATCTGCAGTAGAGCAGGTTGCTAATTGCATCTTGGTGGAAAGTTTGCTGTTATGGTCACCCAGGATTAACTGATAAGATCTCGCTTGTATTGACAACAGGTGTGTTGCTTATATAAACTAGGAAGTGGGACAAAGAATCTTTGCTTAGACTTTTAGGATCACTTTTATCCTAAGAAAAAACTCTTTCCAACATTTACTTTGCTATTAAATACAGAAGTTTAGTACTCATACACATGCCTGTGTTGTATAAAGGTGAACAGATTAAGTAATTTGAGTACATAAAAGCCTTTATGTTGATATATGTTCATTTCTTTCAGGGGAAAAAAAAAAGTCAAAATTACCTAATTAAACTTTATCAAACTTTGCAGATTCCTATAGGCTGTGGTTCCCCAGTGAGCAAAGGCTCCGTTTCTGGAAATGCTTAAGAGATGGGTAGACATATGGCAAAACTGGAAATAAATACTGCTGGGAAAAGGGTGCAATGTCCAGGATACGTATGAAAGAAGCAAAATCAACACCTCCTACACATCTGTTTTCCATGGCCCTCAACATTACAGCACCACATATTGTTACAGTTTAAGGGTTACCAGCCTGAAAGGGAAGGACAGGTGGTGTCTGTGGGACTCTGAGGGCTCAGAGAGTGGTACTGTTCCCTCCCCTTTTCGGCCAGTCTTAAAAAAAACAAGGAAGCCGGAAGCTTTGGGGCTGTTTCTTCCTTCGTGGGCTACCTCGTGTCACATCTCAGGATGGCTGGGCTTACCGCCCTCCATGTCTTTGGTGGTATCCACCACCATCCGCTCCCTGGCACCACTGCAGTCCCTGGTGATGAGTCATAGTGGCCACAATGCACTGCTCGGACACTTCTGCTCGGGACTACTGGGATCGGGCTTTGTATATAGTTAAATATCTTGTGTCCCTTAATAATCCTCCCTTTCTTTCCCCTATTGTTTTCATTAAACTTGTTATATTCTTAGCTTCCAACCTTGTGTGAAGCATTTCTTCTCTATTCCTTTTTTATTTAACCTCCCCTGGGAGGGTGGGGGTAAACAGAGAGAAAATCCTGCTCCATATTTCATTTGCGTTTGCCCTGAGCCCTAAATGGAGACAGGATTAACTGCCACCCAATGTGGGGCATGGCCTAGTTCAAGATAAGGGCATTAATTGGGAGAAGTAACAGGCAAAATACGGATTGGACAATGTTAAAGAGATGAATGATCATGGGGCACGTCGGTTGTAGTTGTGGTGAAGGGATGAGGGGTGTTTTGTGTATAAACTGCGCTGATTATGTTATTGTAAGTGTTAAGTGGGAAGTTTGATTTTGTTGATGTGAACTTTGACAATTCTTAAATACATAATTCACAGTGGTGAGGGATGGAATGTATTGTGTTTTCTGTGAAGGCTTTTGGTTTGTTTTTTTGGTAGTGAGAGAGCGCTATGGAGATAGCCCTGTAAGAAGCTACTAGAAAGCTCCCCCAGCTCCAATGTCAGTCCCAGTTCCAATGTCAGTCCCACCTCTGATCAGGGCCAAGCCAATCAGTGCCCCCGCAAATTCATGTATTTAAGAGGTGTGTGGTGCATGGCCAGCTTTCTCTCTCTCACACTGGCCCCGACCAGTGCAGCCCCGGCCCTGCCCCAACTTAAGGTCAAGCCCCTCTGCAGCTCCAGCATGAAAGAGAGAGCCGGGAACTCTTATGAACCATCAGAAGGGACCTGCAGCAGAGAAAGGAGAGAGGCGTGAGGAAGACAACTGTGCAGACACCATGGTTGGTGAAGGAAGAAAGGAGAGGGAGGAGGAGTTGTGTGGAGCCGAGGTTCCCCCTGCAACCTGTGGTGAGAGCCAAGGTCCACTGGCCTGCAGCCCATGGAGGTTCACCCGTGGGGCAGGACCAGATGAGCAGGTGGCTGTCCCTGAAGAAGCTGCGACTCCGGGCAGTGTGTGCTGAAGCAGTTCGTGTGTGTGGGAACTGTGACTGTGGGCAGATCCAGATTGGGCTTTGTGGACTTGGGCTGAAGCAGTCTGTGTGTGAGGGAACTGCAGCTGTGGGCAGACCCATGTTTAGTCCTTAGTGGAAGACTTTTCTCCTATGGGAAGGGTGTCACGTGGAAGTAGAGGGAGAGTGGGAGGAGTACTCCCTACCCCTGAAGAGGAAGGAGCAGCAGAGACTGCATGGGATGAACTGACTGCAACCCCTATACCCATCCACCTGTGCCACAGGGCAGAGTGGGGTAGGTAAAGAAACAGGGAACAAAGCTGAGCCTGGGAAGAAGTGGGGAGTGGGGGGAAGGTGTTTGACTTTAAGATCTGGTTGTATCTCTCACTGTTCTACTCTGATGTTCTTAGTAACAGATGTTTTTTGGTTTTTTTTTTCTCCCTATGATGAGTTTGTCTTTTGCTCATGACTGTTAAGTGGTAAGGCAAAGCCCTCTCAGTCCTTGTTTTGCCCAGCCCCCTTTTGTGGGCATTGTGGTGCTCAGTTGCACACTGGGCTTAAAAACCACAACACATATGAAAAACCAGAAATGTAGCATGCTTGTCTATATGGCACTATACATGGAGAAGGATCTCCTGAACAATTGAATCAGTCTAATTCCGGATGTTCAGAAAATTTCTGAATCCTCCTACTGCAATCTTCAAAATACCACATTAAGGACCAAATGAAAAAAAAAAAGAAAAAAAAGAAAAATAACAAGATTTAGCTCTTTCACTTTAATATTAATAAACTCACCTAACAACAAAAGATTTACACTAGGATATACGAGAGCAGAATTTACTCTAATTCTCTCCCTAGTGACAGCTAGATAATTCAGAGTGTTTCAAATGTGTTGAAGAATGGCTCAAAGGCTCATGAAAGGTAAAATGAATCCAGCACAACGAGCTGGTCTGAGCCAGCCATTGGTCTGAGTCCTTTCTCAGTTTATGGAAGAGTAAATCACAAGTAACACTCTGAGAATTAACAAAGCAATAAAGATACAAAAGAAACAAGTTCCTTAAATTCAAACCTGACAAGGCTCCCCCTGCCCAGGCACACACAGCTTGGTCATGCCAGCGAATGGACCCAATAGGAATACCCATCACTGCAGCCCCTTCTTTTCATCCTTACAGCAAAAGGGAAGGTGAACCTGTGCATCAAGGCTATTCACGGTACAGAAGTGCATTTTATGCTTATGAAGTCACCCAGCTGGATTGTGACAAATTCCAAATACTGCTTGTGTTATGGATTATTTGTATTCAAGAAATGAATAAATACCCAGCTGAGATCAGGCCTGTTGAACAAGGTATAATATATATGCACTTGCAGAGTGTATGAGATGAACTCTCCACAAGAGGGTTTACAATTTAGATAAGCCACGTTAAGAATGTGGAGGATTTAGAAATTAGGAGAGTCAACTGATTTACTCAGCCCAAAGCACACCTTAGGCAAACCTAGAGCACAGTAGATCTGTTGCCACCTTCCCATCCAGAACAGGACTTTGCCTTTAGCCCTTCCAATTAGTCCTGTGATCCCATAAACCCCTCAGGAGCCTTTTCTTACAAATCTCTGATATCGGCTTACTTTATTCTGGGGCAGTATTTCCTGGACAAAACCAGTATGTATGCCCTGCAGAGACAGCCTTGTGAATAAGTGGTGCATAGTCCTCTAACAAATTTACATATCCAGTACTCCACCTGAAGCTACTGTGTTGCCCAAGCTGCTGTATTTCTGGAAAGCCCAAGTAATTACATTAAAGCGTTAAAGTTTATATGAATAAAATTCCTGGTTGGAAAAAAGTCTATATCAGGCTCTTTCAATACATGTTCAAAGTCTTATTTCATGAGTGTATGCAAACCCCAGAATTTAATGTGTCTCTTTGGATCTGTCAGGACTTTGCAGTTTTTTCTAATGATTGATGTTTATACACACAGCACTATATTGTATTAAAAAGAAAATGAAAGTGAAAAATGAGGATTCAGCAGTTAGTAGATGCAAGGATTAAGGTTGCTTACACAGGTTTTGGTCACCTCCTTTTTGTTTTGTGCCTTTAAGTCACAACAACTCTAACTCTGGTGGAGTTCAAGGTTGCCTTAGGGTGAATAAAGCATATCTACTTCAGATTTGAAGAATATGGATTTTGTTTACTTCTTACTGCCCAGCTTAGTGCACTAAAATTATAAATAATAAGGGGTGAATTTATGTTTTAGGCTGTTTGGTCGCCAAGAGGCAAATTTATTTACTGGGTAATTTTATTGCCCAGAGGTTATTTACGAGAACTAGTGATACTCAGTATTTTTACACACACACACACACACACACACACACACACACACACAGAGCAATAGCGAAGGAGAGATACTCTGTCACTAGATTTCTTACCTCTGAGTTGACCAAAGCAGCATGGGTACATGGTGCACTGCCAGGGGGGTTTGGAAGAGCACAGCGAGGGTGCAGAGCAGCGGGGCTGGAGCGGCGGAGCGGAGCCGTGTCATGACTCCAGACAGGCGTGCGCGTAACTGGGCAGCCGCAAAGGGAAGTCCCAGCGTACGCAGAGCTGCACTTCCCGGTTCAGTCGCAGCTATCCGGATCCAGCCAGGCTGCTGCGTGAGGTTGCTCAACAGCAACAGTGGACATTTTCAAAACACGGACTTCCTTAGCTTGAAGTCAGGATTTATACATATTTTTAATAACTTTCAGGTTTGTGGTTTAAGCAGCTCATAAAACTCTCTGCAGTTTAACCACGGATTCCTCTAATGTTCTAGTACAAGGGAGTGTCGTGTACTCCAAACTCCTCTGTCCTACTGTTTTCTAACTCCCTGATAACTGCATGCTGATAACAGAGTTGCACAACTTCAACAGGGATTTTACAGAAAAGTTTACTGTATCGCACAAAATGTATTCTGCAGAACTTCTGTCTTCTTCCCCTGCTGCATATTATCATGTCCCTCAGCTTAGCTCTGTCACATATATTGAGAGCTGGTGTCACACATTTGGGTGTTGACAGGTTTGAAATCTGCAGTAAATGTATCCATTGCAGATTCCAGCAAGAAGGAAGTGAGTGAGAAAATGTTACGTTTGGAGTGTATCCACTGAAACATGGAATTCAGCTATCTTTTGCATGCAGCAATACCGTCCCAAAAATCAAAAATATCTAAAGTCAGAAGCAAATTATAATCACTTCAGAATCTGACATGACTTCGGTATTTCAAAAGTCTCATGCAAGATCAAAATAGCCACAGAGAATTTCTTCATGCTGGGAAACAAATTCCTCCAGCGTACTTTTTTCCTCCTGCCAAGCTCTGAGCTGTTTCTTTACCTTGTGACTACATTAGCCAGCAGCAGTCACCCGTCACATGTTTGTCATGGGGCACAGATGTCTCTTCACAACCAGAACAAGATGTTAGGGATAATGCTCAAAGGAAATTGTTAGCTATGTTAAAACAAGTTTTAATAAGGAAAAAACAAGGAAGCACAATGAAAATTGTAAAAGAAGATAGAAACAGATGTCAGAAGACATACACTTCTGAATTTGCGTACATGTAGCTTGATTAATTAAACCCATTTGCCTTAACTCACAGCATTCTGTTACAGTGCAGTTTAGTATAAGGGAATTTGTTCATCAATCTGAAATCATAATTTTGAGACAAAAATAATAATTTTGAGGGAAGCAATAAACCCAGTAATGGTTTACATGCTTCTCTTTCTTCTTCATTCTGCCTTTACATAACACTGAATTTAACTCTTTAATTACACTTTTTCCTATTCCCCTCAGAGATGTATTATAAATCCTTCATCTCCCTTTTCACAAGCCACTGTCTGTTCGTTTGTTTAAGGGTACGTACAGGTAAAGCAGCAATCCAGAGCACAAAGATAGGGGTAGAACTGGAATGCTTTAGGGAGAACTTGGTATCAATTGAAATAGCCCAGCTGACACAAGCTAAAGGCTTTGTAATCTGCAAAGTAGTTGACCTTTCCGTGGTATCTTCCAGAACATGTGAGAACTGGTTTCTCACATAACTGTACAGAATAGGCTTGGCAGTGTTTGTGAGCATCTCCTTACCACAAAGCCAATCGACTGTAAGTCTTCCTGTCTGCTTCTTACAATTAACCTTCATGTAAGAAATGAAGATGAATTGAAAGTCAGCATTATATAAACCAAGAGGGCACAATATGGTTGCCCACAGAATACTGAAGAAATCTCAGATTTTCCAGTAAAACTTTTAATTTTGCAGAACCTGCTAGATTTGCATTGCAGTTGGAAGTCTAGAGAAATAGTGCATTACTGCACTACATTTTTAATTCACTGAGCTCATGTCTTCTCAGATTGTTATTCTTTTCATTCTTTGGCTTGCACGATGCAGAGATCCTTGCTTCACAAAACAGAGCAAGAAAGCATCTTCTCTTACTGTTCTTCTAACAAGAACCAATGAAGAGTAGGTTCTAGTGGGTCTCCTCTATTACTAATACAGTTGATAAATATGACCAACACTGCCAGGACTCCCACATCAGAATAAACTCTCAACAATCTGACCTAAATGTATGGAAATCAAGACTGACGTATATATCATGTTGTACAAATATGTGCTGTATATCTGACAGAAATCTCACAACAAGAGCAAGTGATTATTAGGAAATATTTGACAATTCAGTACTTTTAAAATGTGTGACTACTGCTTAACTCTACTATTACAGAGCATTTTCGCAGAGCTAAAGCATTTACACTGTTTCAAAAATCCCACTGCTGGCATGTACAACTTCTTTTCGTGCTCACACTCAAACGCTGACACCTGGATGAGAAGTTGAAGTCATGTAAGAGATTCCTGGCTTCTTGCATCCAAAATGGCTTACTTGAAGTAGATTAATAAAAAGAAGAGAAGCTATTACAGGGAAGAGAATTATGAAAAAGGGGTGTATTGACCTTGTCTCTTTCCAGCTGGTACTGTCTCCAAAAGTGTTTATCCCTTGGTTTGAGCTGGATCTTTTGGGAGGCATTTGCGCCAGCTAACCAAATCACATGCAAGCAAGATGGAGCACAGTTGGTGAGTATACTCTCCATATTCTGCCTTACAGAAACAACCTGAAAAATTTTTGAAACAAACCCAGATTGTTTTATCTCAGATTACCCTATTACTTATGACCAAACTTTTAACTGAAAACAAACAGAATTTTCTTTTTTACTATTTCTCCACAAACCACACTTTGAGAATGACTGAAGTGAAGAAATCTTTGAAAAAAAGGAATGAGAAGAACCCATTGACTGAGATTTTATTTTGCCTCCCTCAGTAAATTTGGGTTGCAAATGCGTCTGCATATATTTGCTCCTTTTTCTTTTTTTTGTCTTCACTCCTAAAAATAAAGAATTCTTGCCGAATAATAAGAAAAAATGTATATACTGCAAAGAGAGACTCCTTTCTTTCACTTAATTAAAAATGAGACAAGATCACAATGGTTCTTTTATCTATGAACAAGAACCTAAAAACACTTTTGATTGATGTCTGTCAGTATACACAAAAGCACACAGAGTTTAGTGTTGAATTTTCCACAGGGCTTTTTCCTTGAAAACCCATAGGTGATCTTGAGTCCAGGTTTAGAACTGCTTGCATATTAAGATTTATTTTAAATCCAACACAAATTCAAAATACTGAATCTCAGACTACTGTGAAATCATTATGAAATCACAATGGAAAAAAACCCCAAACCATCCATTACCATACATCTCCACTTAACTAAAATAATTTTATTAAGAGAAGCTGTAATATTGGCATACCATGTATTTACATCCTACTCCTACCCATCTCTCTGGATTTATTCATGCTTTCTTTTACAACTGTATGCATATGACATATCCCACGTATTTCTTATCCTGTCACAGTTGAAATATGGGACTCATAAAAAATAATGGGGAGAAATGATGAAGATGATGGAGGTTTAATTTCTTTTGCTTATGAATCCTCTTTAAAAAAAAAAAAATCCCTCAACTTCAGAATTCTATATTCCCGGTGTATTTTTTTATAGAAAGAAGTATGAATGCCAGATTTGTGTGGGGTGAAGTTAAATTTAGGACTGTAAGTCAGGCTAAAAGGGATGACTATTGTAACAAGGGCAATTTACAGTGCAAGATAAGCCAAACGAGCTGTGTATAGACAGGTGACAAAAGCAAGTGCCGCCCATTTTGCATGCAAATATGATCCTTGAATGATAGATTTGGGAGCTAAGAGGGTACTACAACAACGTATTAAAGAACCTCTTCCCCCAGCTCAGATAATAGACAAATTCAAATTAACTCTTTAAAGAGAAAAATAATAATTAAAAGAACCGAAAATTTGGATTTTTTTTCATCTCAGTTACTATTAGTACCATTTCCTATTAAGAAAGTATTTTCCACATGCCAAATACAGGTCAACAACTACTTTGCCACCCTCATGTATTTAATTTACTGTTCTGTTTTATCACTGTTGACAATAATTTTATGATCTAAGAAGGGATCTGCTTTGTTCATTGGGACAACTTTTCGGGACAAAGAGGCAGAGGAGGAGGTTACTCTGAGTTCTTCTTCCTTTGAGACGTAAATTTACATCCTGGAAAAAGCACAGACTTTCCTCTTGGGAGTAGGGAGGCAAAATGCACGTTCTTCTTTGCTAAATTAACACATTACCCACTTGTGGATGTGGAAAGAAAGGCAAAACTTTTTCTTCTGGAAACAGATTATCGGTGATGTTGGACGTGGGTAGAAGGCAATTTTTGCTTCATGCTTGAAAAGTCCTGCTCACAGAAGGGTCCCGTGAGGTAAACTGCAGGTGTTGATTGGCCTCGTGTCTCTGCGAGTGCAGGAGAAATAAGAGCCAGACCGATCCTCTTTTCCTGGTAGTGAGTAGTGACATCTGGAAAAGAACTGAGGCAAACCCAGGATTGCTCTCCAGTGTTTCAGGAGTGTGGACTCCTCTTGGTCTCGATCTCTAAGCTACAATTTAAGAGGTTTTATAAGCCTCTCACTTTTGCCCCTTCTCAGAAGTGAAGAGAGAAGGTCAGAATTTCATCTTAGTCTCTTTGCCTTTGAAGAGGCGCTGACACTTGGCAATCATTTGTTCTCATTATCCAAGAAAGATCTGTGCTGCAGTGCAGAGGCTTTTTTACCAGTAGATACCAAAACCATCTTGTGACTGTCTGAAATTCAAGCAAAGATGATCAGCTGTGCTTTTAAAGAATTTTCAGTTCTAACAGAAACTGGAAGATTTGACCCTTTAATATGAAGAGGAGTTTTTTTCCTGATACAATGCAATGACTTCTCCTGGAAATATGACATCTTTAATCTGACTCTGATCTTTTCAGTCAGCTTTTCTAGTATTTGCCACTGCTTGATACGGAGAATGCTTTCATTCTTCGTACTTGTCCAGTACCTTTTTATGTAATTTGTAAGCTACAGAAGCAGGTAAAGCAATACAGTAACTACTAGAGAAAGGTTTTTAATTAATTCCTTTTCAAAACACAATACAATTGTAAATGCTACAGACAAAAAGGGTAAAGTAATTCTTTGTTTTTAAATTTAGTTACAATATAGACAAAATGCTTAAGAGGATAAAAGTAGCAATTAAAGAAAACTTAAATAGATGATTGTACAATCATGCTAGATTTAAAAAAAAATGTTACCCTAGTTTTACATTGACTATACTGGGCTTTGCCCTGACAAAATGATTCAATTAGATATCCAAACTATTGAAAATACTTGTTCCAGCTTTCAACAATTCTCTTTCAATACATCACATCTTCCAAAGCATTCAATTTCTATGCTTTCAAAAGCCATTTTTGGACACTGATTTGAAGGAAAACATTAGTTTTAACTTTATACGGGTAGTCACTTTTTTGTGGACAGCCATGCCCAGGTATTAGTCGAATACTCAATTCACTATAATTGCACCACAAATTCCTAACTATTTACACAAGAGCTTTCACGGTGTGGTTAACTGGCACTGCCATTATCAGGGACTACTTTCCAGAATTCTGTATAAACAATAAATTTTTAATGTGTGAACAATTCTCTAGCAGTCCAAAACACTTTGTTTTCTGGAGAACACTGAACATAGAAACTAGAACTCTTCAAGCATAAATCTGTAATACTGTGCTAGTTTTGGATGCCTCAAATCAAGAAAGGCTTGGATAAACTGGAGCAAGTTTGATAGAGGTCCACCAAGAAAACTCAGGAGGCAGAAGCAGTTGACATGCTAAGAAAGGCTGAAGGAACTGGTCTTGTTCCGCTTGGAGACAAGAAGGCTTAGGGAAAACCTGACAGCAGCTTTCCAGAACTTAAGAAGAGACTATCAAGAAGATGGAGCCAGGCCTTCTACAAGTGTGCATGGTAAGAGAATGAGATGCAACACAGTCTATCAAAAGGAAAACTTTTTTTAAGATGAGGACGGTCAAGCACTGAGACATGTTGCTGCTAGAGGTTATGTATTCTCCATTCTTGAAGGTTTTCAAGTCCTGAATGGATTAAGCCTTGGCTTTATAGCTGACTGTACTTTGAGTAGGAGGTCGACTCCTGAGGTTCCTTCAAACCTGACTTACTTTATGATTCTGTACATTCAAAATTCTGTACAATCCAATGCTACATGGAATTAAAATCAATAAACTAGTGGTCTTTCACTTTTTTTTAAACTATTTCCTTACTCTTTATTTAAATCATCCTTCTGGGGCTGTAATTTACATTTTTAAAAGCTGCATAAAGAAAAAAGGAGACAAATTTATATAGAAGTCCTTCTTGCCCTTGAACCCATAATTTTTTTAAAAAATCCTTTTATTACTCAAAGCAGCCCAATCTTAGCAGCCATTCCTATCTTAAAAGCTCGAATCCTGGAAAGCACATAAGCCAACTGGAATGCTCACATGATTCACTTTTGCAATTCTACAATTAGTTCAGTACTGAACTAAAATCCAGAATCTGAATTTAATGGTAAAATCAATGGGAAAACTTCAGCTGATGTTAGAATGCACTGGTCCGTCAGGTACTGGTTCTGCAGTCCATGTTCTGTTAAGTGAGTCAATCCAGTTTCCAGCTGTTTGCTGCTAAATATGTGCTTATTCCTACTTGTAAATACTACCGCTTTTTGTCCAGACAGTTTTATTTGTCAGAGCAAAAGGGTTTGTCCTGGGTCAGAAACATGTCTAGAATAGAGATTACAAGTAGAACTTCGCAACTTTCTGCAGGGCTTTAACTGAATGTACATCATACCATATTTTTCTCTGTAACTATAATCAAACATAAACATAACAAAATAAGGAAAGAATTGACTTCTACTTTAAATAACACAAGTTCCTAAAAAAACAAGCATTTTCTAAACACTGTGCATTGTGTATTTCAAATTATAAACCTGATTTACAATAATTTCAAGATCTTGGATACAATAATTACATGCTGGCAGTTCCACTATGATCATCGAGATGAGCTAGAAAAAGTAAATTTTTTCTTTTGCACAAATGTTTACAAGGCAAAGCAGCTATATTTAGAAGGGCATATAAATTATTTTATTCTGTAGGAATTTATGGTTTGAGGGTTTTTCTGCCTTACATGTCTAAGACCAGAGAAATAAATTTAATATAGTGTTTATTGTATTATTTTTCTAATTAAAAGATGATGTTAAATTAGTTAAAATCCCCCAACAGGAATATTACATTAGAGACAGAATGTTCCAAGCAACACTGGCGTACACAGGAAGACAGTAATTCCTCCACAAATTTAGTATTTACACAGCTCATCAACAATATTTTACTTTTTAAATAATGAGGTTACAAAATACGAAATGCAGTTATATTGACTGGTCAAGATCAAATTATTTTATTCTCAGATGTTTATTTTGATCTGTGTAATACAATTAAGGTACTGATGAAGAAGTACTTTTCTTTAAAACCGAGGAAATTGTATTAATCAATAATTCAGTTAACTTCTTTAACTTCAGATAACTTTCCCTAAGAATTATGGTTTTGTACCAGTAGAAATAGGCGTTACTATTAAAAATTCATTTGCCTTTGCCTGATTGTCACTCCTATGCAAAAATGATCTCATCGCTGGAATCTGAGCAAAGTAGTTTTTTGCCTGGATATGCTTACTTTTTATTCTGTGAATAAATGCCGATGCATAAGCCTGAAAGAAAAACACAAATCTCATTACATAAAATTAAAAGATCTAGCAAACTACATGTTGCTTCATAGCTTAGACAGTATAGTGACCCTTTAATAAACTAAATCAGATAATTTATTCATGTATGATACATAATTAAATATTTTGTAGTTTTATACTGCTACCTTATGGCACAATAGTGACAAACACTAACCAATCCTTGTGTAATATTAGTCACCTCTTAAAAACAGAAACACGTCTGGTATTTTTTTATCTGCTCAACATAAGACATTTCTTTTCAAGTAAGAATATTGGTACTTACCATTAAAAATAAAAACAAGCAATGCTTAAATATCAACATTTGCAAGGTGATGACTATAGGAAGTTTCCTTGATAAGAATCAGAGTGATTATTTACAAATAAATATAGCAAGAAGCATTTTTCAGCATTTCAGTCAGCCTTTGCATTCAGTAGTGACATATTTTCCTAAATGTCTACTGATTAGTAGTAGTTCAGATGATGTAAAAAATAAACAGAATATTTAGTTGGAAAAACCCTTTTCTATTACTTATTCATAATTCATCATTATGAATAAGAATTGCTATTAAAGAAAGTGCTTGAGAAGCCTTTTTTTTGTTTCAGTTGGTGCGAAACAATGATTCAACTCATAATATTTTAACTTTGCCTCATTTTTCTTATTTCACATACATTTTTTGAAACAAAGCTTTGGCCATTACCAGTGAAGAAAGCTGACTTCTCACTTGACCAATGATGGAAAAAAGTTTATATCTAATCAGAAAATATTTTTATTGCCATTATGCAAAAATAATGAAAATATTTTTACTACAATATATCATTCACATTAAAAACATAAGTGTAACTCTGGACCCAATAAGGATAATGGCATCTCTTTAACTATGACAACCAGGTAAGTGCATAATCAGAATCTTAGCCTGCCATAATCCTAGTAACAGAAATTTATGGATGTAGAGAAGCATCATGAGATTCAGACTGCCTGAATAGCCTTGTTGACTGAAAGTGAGACACGGGAGTCAATAAAGGAATTTCCAGCTTAGAATTGATTTTGCCTGGTAAACTATATGCTCACATTAACATGTGTCTGAAGACACAGATTAGGCACACACAGAAAATATATAATAGATGGCAGACTTCTCTTTACCGTAGAATTCTGTGCCTAATATATTTCATCCCCAAGCAAACCTTACATTAAGAGAGTAATTCATTCGCTCTGTCAGTTTAGTTACCACATGCTCTCAAGAATTCCAAAAAGAAGGAAAATGAGTAACAGCTGAAGTTGCATTTGTGATGCACACATAATGAGTTAGAAATTGAATTAAGAACACCCTGAACAAAAGGACACTACACAACAGTGACCTCAGACCACTACTTACATAAATCAGTAACCTAGAGGTGAAAGGCTTAATAATGCATTACTAATTGCAGGACAAACACAGCTCACAGGATTCTCTTGGGCCTCAGAAAACTAAATATTCTACCATACAATGTCCAGTGGAGTGAAATATTTATCAGACTACCATGCTTAGATATGGAATTTAGGAGAGTGGTGTAAAAATACAATTTTGATGACTTCTTTAACAAATTCTTAAGATTTTTCAACTCAAAACAGCAATTATGTTTTTATTGCTTAATTTCAACCTACAAGATTACATTGTCGGGGTACTTATAAGTACTTTCTTGTAAGAAAGTAAACTGCAACAGATTTTATTATGACAAGTGGTTGAGTTCTAGACAATGAGCCATTCTCTTATTTGATGAGAAATTTATAAAGGCAGAAATTAATGAGGCCAGAGCATGTGCAAGAGCACAGGCACACAATTGTCACAGTATTTATTGTTAGTCTTTAGTATGTTTTTCAACCAGGCCAGCTCTTGTCTGATCTCATCTGAGAGAAGAGCACAGACATGTGGCACTGTTTTCTGTAGGCAGCATGGATGAGTCCACTTAACTTCTTGCATTTTAGGAGGGAGATTCAGGGCAAGACAGAGCTTAGGTACATGAATGTGAGCTGTACTATGCCAGCTGCCCTCTGAACTAGTACCTGTTTTATTTACAGATGCAATCATTTAAATAGTCATAATCGGCCAATTTGAACATGGATGAGCATAGGCACTAAATCTGGCCAAACATCATTAGTCACAGGATTCTATTAAAATATAAATATTGTAAAAAATTAAGCCCATCAATTTTTACCTCCTGAAGATTACACAGCTTGAGATGTGCATCTGCCTCATCTTTCGTGAGGAGAATAGTGTTCCATGGAGACCACTCATGCTGCTTATCCCACCTGACCATAACCATATCATAGAGGTCGCTGCAGGCACTGAGAGCTGACTGACAGCCCCATATCTTCTCAATCATGTACTTCAGATCTTGTTGCTGAAATGTAAAACAGGGTTAAGAAGGACGAAACATGTTTCATTCTACAACAATAGTATTATAACTGTGTGTGTAAGAATCCAAATAAAGCTTTGAGTAAAAATTTTTCTATGCATATGTCATACAATCACTTGGTTAAAGAATATCTAGACACACACACTTCTTTGTTCATTTTGAGATGAAAAAGGTCTTTAGTTGCAGTAAGCAGAACTTACTGGAGCTACCATAACTCTCATCAACTGCTTTTTGCCTTTAAAACCTTAGCAGCACTCATATGGGTGGTCAACCAAAACACAGTTAGAGTCAGTATGCATAGGAGCTGAAGAAAAGTATTTTCTCACAAAATCTTGCATCAGAGCCAGTAATGGTACTGCACTGGGAAATGAAGGAAGCTGTCGTAGCTGCTGTGAAAGAGTTCTAGTTGTGCCCAAGTAATTTCTAGATGTCTCAGAGCTGTTTACTGGATGTTAAGTGGAGTAGGGAACAGATAGTTATTGGGAGGGGAAGGAAAATAAAAAGTAAGTAGCTCAGAAAAAAAATAATTTAAGGAAATCTAAGGAATAAAACAAGGAAATTAGTGATTTAAGATACAAACTTCTGTTGTTTAGGTATTTACAACTCTAAAGAGAAGAACTTAAAGTTAATTTGGATAAAAATGACACTGTATCTAGACATGTTGCAGTGATACAACCACAAACAGAACTGCAAGTCAGGGCTTTCGGTGTCAGCAGTTAAGAAACAGTCATGTTTCAGTGCATCAAATGTGAGAGAGATCCAAAATATTTTGGAGGATGTTTACATATTAAGATAAACTAGGTTAGCTTAAGTGAAAACCAACATGGACGAACAACACCCAGGTTCTTTGATAACATTTTTTAACACAGACATGATAATTAAAGAATCCTAATCTTCCTTTTTGCAGCTGCCATTGGCAAAGTGTTAAACCACAGCATGGCTTCTTTTGGTAGCAGTGGGATATTGATAACTGGCTTTTGTTTGCTTGGTTGTTGTTTCAGACATACTTAAAATACAGTTCAAAAACTGTTCTATGAATGTTAATGCTGTAGAGATTTTTATTACTAAATCTCAAAAAGTTCAAAGAAATCTCGGCTGTTCAATACTTTCAATAAATAACACTTTGCAATTACCTCAGATTTAAAACTTTCGCAGTGGATATTGGATTTCAATTTTTTTTTTTGACAAAATAAGTAGTAACACCTAAAGGCAAGTAGTTCTTTGAACAGAGTTGTTCCAGTAATGATTATTATGAAACGTTAGCTACTCAGTAATATTGCAAAAGATTACAGATGATTACAGATGATGGCAAAAAATAGAAAATTAGAATATTTAGTGAATCCATCTCTAATAAATGCAAAACAGTGAAACCTTCAACTATACAGATATTCTACTGACATACAATAGCAATGTCAAAACCTCAGCTCTGTTATTTTTTTTCTTTCTGAGAACAAAAACCAATTTAGTTGTATTACTAAAACAGTCCAAATAATGGGGCCTAAAATGTTTTACTAGCATTATGTCTTGAACAGTATTATAGTCACAAAAACATTATTGTTGCTTTACAGATGTTGCCAGCATCTTAAAGCAGCAGAACAGCCATAGCAGAAGAATTTGGATCATCTGATTCTTTGACTTGTCAGCTACACTTCAACCTTATTTAATGTATAGCTGGTAAGCACTTTTGAAAGTACAGCTATAATTCAAGAGCTGAAGTGCTGCTGCTTTATGGTATGGAACATCCCAGACTACAGGAAGAAGTTTTTGTAGCTTTTAGCGTATTTCTTGACCTGTCAACAGCACACACAAAATACAGGAAAATTTATTGTCAAAGCCCCTGGTTTCCATTATTAGCAATATTCTTTCAGACATTACCTGAACTAAGAAAGCAATTTTAGCGTCATCCTGATAATCAGCCTCAGACTTTCTGAGATTTTTTAGTATAAGTTTATACTCCAAAAATGCTTCTCGTCGCTGAGCCTCATTAGCAGGCTTGCACCACAAGTGACATCTGCCAGTGGTGTGGGAATTAGTAGGAATAGGAAATTCTGTAGATGTTAGGTAATTTTCACAACTATGACAGAAGTGAACATTTTTATAAAGCTTTAAGGGATCTGGTGGAACCTGAAAGATTAAAAAAAAAAAGTTCATTTACCACAAAGTATCTTTGTATTACTTGTGTGTAACCTTTGTGTGTATTTGAATACATTTTACACATATTCATGCAATGTTCATGCAAGTGTTCTAATATGTAAAAACCAGTAATATTTATTTTAAAATACCCAATAGAGTTGTTTGGTTTTTTTTTAAATAGACCAAACGCTATTCTGTTTTCTTACTGTACATGTTAAAATCAGTTATACAAATCAGTCAATTCATTTTTAAGCTATGTGAAGATCCTAGACATTATCCTCCAGTGGTCTTGCTGGTGCTTTTATGTATGCAGTTTGTCAGCCATTCTGGAAAGATGACAACACAGCAAAAAACCTAATTCTTTTGGATTTATTTTTTCATATAGTATCTGCCCTTTATGTCAAAGATGAAACCCTGAGATTATGAGCATATTAATATTTTGGCATAAGAATACAAAATCATCAGAGCCACATGTCCAAAAACAATATAGGGGAAGAATAAACTAAACTTGCTAATGACCTCCTCACCCTCATATTTGTTCATGGGTTCTGGAAAGAATTTAATGTAGTTTGTGCAAAGGGTTCAAGTCTGTAATTGGGTAGTTTGAGTAGTCTGATGGTCCAGGCACCTGTTGTGGTCATCTGCCTTTTTTTGAAAGTACCCTGAGGATTTGACTGTCTGTTGATGAACTGCCACCTTTTTTATGATCTACAGAAAGCTACAAGATTCAAATACAAACACAGGTGCAATTCAGTCTTCAACTCATGGTACAGTTAACCAAAAGCTAGAGAAGCCAAAGATGTCCCATCTCCAGTCTCCACTATGACCCATCTAGGTCATAAACTGCTGGTTGGTTTTAAGTCCCACTACTGACAGATTCTCTACTCCTGATATACCATCAACCACCATAAGATGAATCCTCTTCTTATAGATGCAAAATAGGCTTTGCTGCCTAAAGCAGCAACATAGGATAGTGAATCGTATTTTCAACTGTAATCTGTAGTCAGAAATGAAAAGCGATCACACAACTTGAGAGGTGTCTACCGCTATCTCCACTTCATAGCTACATCTGCTTCTCATGAAGTAGCAACAGTTTGTACCACAAAAGCTTGTAAAAGCTCTCATTTAGGTGCAAACTCCTTAGACATCACTTTGACAATGGCAAGGTTTATCTTTTGTGGATGCATGGGATCCTGCCTCTTGTCCAGTGAAAGAAAGATAATTGCTCGCTCTATTGGTTCCCCATTTGTTATTACAATTTACTGTTACCATCCCATAAGATCTACCATTTACAATTCTTGGATTTTTTTATTTCATACAGTGTTCCTGGACGCTCTCAGTGATACCAGCCATTTGTCAGCTTCTTATACCTATGTCTGCAATCCATGCTTGATATATGACTATATAAGCTTATTTGTGTGAAGCCTGGATATTTGCTACATTTTACTTCTTGAGAAACTCCAACAACAATTCTACAGCAAAATCTAAAATAAAACAAGCTTTCATTGTTTTCCGTTCCCCTTCTCCACCATTCTTAGTTCAATGGCCACTATGTCAGACTGCAAAATAGGAATAATACCTTAAGTATCCTAGCAATTTCAGGGTTAAACTTTGGAGTTTTAATATACTGAAGAAATAATGTACAAATTCTTTTCCTCAGTCCTTCTAAGTTGCATTCTTTCATGTCCCTCGACATAAGATCAACTTCCCTGTCAATTAATTCCACTATTTCTTGTGTTAATTTACATTCATGTTCCTGAAAGAAAACACAAAGAAAAAGGAAGACAAACTCCACAACAATCAAGAAGCAAATAAACAAAATAATTCTAATGCAGATATGAAAGCAAACTATAGATTCTTTGCCAATCATTATTCACACCTCTGCATGTTCACATAAGAACAGGTTCATATTAAGAACCCCCTAGTGTCTTAGGAAAACAACCTCCAAGAAAACTCATGTAAAGAACTAAATAACTGAGAATGTTTACAGATCCTGCTTTAAAGGCCTTGTATGTATACCAAAGCTATGAGGAACTGTAAACCTGGAGGCATTAAAAAACGCTAAGCAGAGACAGATAATACATGCAAAGTTTTCAGTCTCCAAAAACCCCAAGAAATATCTCCCCAAGAAGTTTCCTTTGGCTGTGTAATAGCATATGTAATGTATATACAGAGTAGATGGTTAAAACAAACAAACAAACAAAACCACAAAAAAGCAAACAAACACACAAAAAACCCCCAACAAACAAAAAACCCACTACACAAAAGGCATGGGGGACTTTATGAATATGCTTGGAAATTAGTAATTTCAATATTTCAAATGCTTAGCAGGAGATTCTTCAGAGAGAGATAAGTGAATGAGTTCAATGTTTTCTCACCTAAAATAGAGTGTTAATTTACAGGAATTCTAGAATCTGCTCACTACAGCAATATAGACTTGTGTTAAGATGGGCAGGAGTTCATAGACCAGCAATGCTTTCAACGCTGTATTGTCTTCTGGTCAAATTCTAGTACTCCCAAAGCAATTAGCAAGATGTTCGTTTGTTTTAATAAGACCACAAAGCAGCGTTCTATTCTAGTTCAATGCCAACAGTATCATCCTAAAAGTACATTCAAACTCATATTATTATTTTTGTACATTAATAAATAAATGAATAAATAAACAAATATTATTAACTAAAATAAACGCATGCAGCTTCTAAGTCACTGGGAACACTGGCAGCAGAAGTGAGGGTGGGGAGTGAGGGACAAAGAAAAAAAAATGAAAATCAGTATTTGCAGCCATAAAACTGGTAACTCAAACCAACAGAGAGATAAGGTTCTAAACAGACATTTCAAAGAAATTAGAAAAAAAGCCAGTAATAGCCACTTACATCTCTGCCATGGTTTTCATCAAGTTGTTCTAAATATTAAGCTAAATTTTGTACTAAAAATGTATTATATATTAATATACAAAAAGTCTACAACAATAAAGTTAAAATTCTAACACAACTTGAAGAAAAATGTGCACATCACAAAGTGAAATATGAATTCAGAGTATATCTGGAACGTAAATTACACTGTCATGCCAGGTGGTACATGAAGCTTTCCCTCGCTGCCAGCTGATCATCCCTGCACCTGTTTGCCAGAAGAAGCCTTGCTTATGTGTCAACATAATTAAGTCACTGTATCTTAGGGAATTACAGCTTCAAGCTAAACTTAAATAGAAAAATAAAACCTACCTTCACTGTATGTCTGAGTGTTAACAGCACATCTATTCTCTCATCTTTTGGGATGTCGTTCATGCTGATGCTGCGGTATATTTCAAGTAGTTCTCTGGCACGGAGTGTGTACTGTGTATCCATTTGAGTGATTTTTCCATCATATGCTTTCCATCTCTTAGGTTGTGCACACTTCAGAAACAATTTGTATAACTGAGCTTTTATAATCTGATCACCAGCTGAACAAATGCATTATGTTACATGAAGTTTCACCACAGCAAATAGGGGCTTAACATTAATGCTTGACTAATAGAAAAGGCTAATCCTATTGATATTTATACAGTACCTTTTCCACCAGAGCAAGTAATCAATTGCACATTTTGTTTAAAGTTGCAGCTCATGAAAATTTTGACTTACAGGATATTAAAAGCAAATAATATTTTCCTACAGGGATATGCTCTACTTCTTTAAAACAAATTTACTGAAAGTAGTGTTAGAATACATTTGCTCTCCATTTCATACTGCAGTCATAAATCCCCCTAAACTATCAGTAAAAATCAATGAGACTGTTCACTGTGTAAAGATTGCAAATTTAAGGCCTAAGTCTACTGCAGTACAAAATATCTCCAGGGAACTGTTTTATTTATGCTAGCTATACAGACAGATAGAAGGCATAGACTTTGTTAAACCTGACTAAGGCGGAGTATGAGTTTACAGCTTATTGGATACTTCGGCTAGCTTCTTGTTTGTGAACTTAACCACATGCCATCTGCCTACTACAGCAGTTGTCTCTTTGCACATCTTTAACTTCTACAGACAGTGAGCAGTTACGTGGTGTCAGCTGCACCACGCAGTTTGAGAAGTCCAAACTCTCCTCTTGCCAGAGGGCTGGTTTTGGTTGCAAACCACAGTTACATAAGGGGTTAGTTCACTGTGGAGGTAGGTATCTAAATCCAATAGAATGCTACTATTCAAAACCTCCTCCTCATCATTACCTAACTCCACTCCCTTTCTTTAATTGGGATGGCTATTTGGAACCTCATTCTGTGTATTAATTATTCTCTTTGCTGTATTTGGAACCTGAACATTCACAAACACTTGCAAACTTCACTTTGCAGTCTCGGTGTGAGTTAACTACAGCAACACTTCATGCAGCATTCACATGCTGAGTAGTTTTCTGGATATGATTCCAGTAGTGATGTAATCATTATTTTGACCAAATATACAGGCTTGCTATGGTGATAAGTCATGGAAATACCAAGGATATTAGATAGTTAGAACAGATACAGTTAGTTACCACCACAATCAAAAGAGAGTTTTCCTCACTTTGAAATAAATAAATTATAAAGTTAGGTAAGCAAAAGAAAGACAAAATAATTGAAAAAATGATTTAACACTGAAAAACTGACATTTAATTACATTATCAGTGGGGGTGAAATTCTTAATTAAAGGAGGTATTGTTAATCAGAGGTCACAATTCAGAGTCAAAACTGATTAAGAAATGAAACAGCAAAACCAGACATCAATAAAAGATAAAACTCTTAATTCCTTAGTGAAATCTTTGAACTTCTGCAAAACTAGAAGGAGACTATTTTCTCTCTGTCATAAAAAGGGAGCATTCTGCTGTAACTTCATGAATTTGTTTCACTAACTTTGTACAGCACTCTAAATTCTAACAAACAGCAAACAAGAAAAAACAAACCCCAAAAGCCCAAGTAAATAACAAAATACCCGCTATCAACTTAGAAGCTATATGATGCTGTAACTCCTTTTTATGCCAGACTGGCAAAAATCAGTTTTCCATAGAGCAGTTAGCGCATTTGATTTTCTTCAATGAAATCATTTATTATAAGATAGCAAGGTTATTTGCTTCTGCTAGGGAGAGTCAATGGGCAGAATTTACCCTAGGAAATGGCTATTAAAATTATGTTCTTTGGACAAATTTGTAACAACTCGTATATGAGCTAGAAGTCTTGGTATTCCACTCTGCAAATGACCCTTTACACAGACCAACTATATTATGATAATGTCTAAAATATTCAAAGCAAGATATCCTATCTGTAACTTCTGTATTTTTTCTTACTACCTCATCATAACTGGGTATTATATAAAATTAAATAATTTCAAAAGAAAGGAATTATGCAGATTTTTATTGAAAAAAATACAGCAGTCTCACCAATATGAAGATTTCCAGTATTTCAGAAAGAATTACAAGCTGATTTCAATACTGTTTTCTTGTATTCAAGATTGATGTGAGAAAACTGAGACTTCTAAATTTCAAGAGTTTTTTGCCAGATTTTTTTTTGCCTTTTAGTCTGCTGGCAATATTGAGGAATTGACAATAATCCTGTTATCTGTATTACTTCAGAGAGCAAGACTACTATAACTGCACTCTGTTGCCAATGCATGAAAGCAGGAAAAAAGCACCCAAGGAGAGAAACACACCACCACAGACAGAGATTATTTTTTATTATAAAAAAATAATCCATAGAATGGGTGCAGAAATAGCACAAAGCATGAAAGGTATAAACTGCGCAATAATTACAAAAATTCCTTTAAGAAAACATGATTGCTGTATAAAAGCTTAATCATGTACTTCCTTTTCAAAATATAAATGCTGAAGAAGAATGAGCTCAGTATAAAAAAGACCCCCCCCGAAAGTAGTGCACACACGACCAGTAGCAATCATTGTAAAAGCACACATGCATGAGAAGGTACATCCTTAAAGTAGCAAAGAAGGGAACCAACGTTTCCATGAAGAAGCAAGTTTTGTATCACATTGGCTATTGCAGCAAAGTGAAATGCTTGCAGTCTTCATATATGAAAGGTGTTACATAAACTGTAACTGGCAAGTGCCCGACTAACATTACCAGCTCAAAGTTCAAGAAATAACTGAATAATTAATCTAGTACTCCAACAATAAATTTCATACTACAGTTTAAATTGCACTGTTCAAATTGCACTTTTACAGTCATAACAAACCATCCATTTAATTTTGAGATTTCCAAAATTTTTTAAATTTTTTTTTATTTTTTAAGAAATGCAGAAATAGTTACTTTTTCACCTCTGAGTTAGGCTCCTATCTATGTCAACAGTTTAGAACAACTCTCAAAACCCTATAGCTGTAAATTTAAAAAAAAATATATAGTAAAAACACCTATTTCAGTTGCAATATTTCTTTTCATGATTTTGTCACATACTATGAAAACAGCCAGAAAACAAACTATTTATTTTTTCTGAGGGGACTGATTGCTGGGATGTCCAACTAGAAAAGACTTTTTAAAAAATTTTACATTAAGTTGCCATTGAATCTAATGTGATTCTAAATCATCTTTGTGTACTAATGAATTCTCATATTTGTTTTATAAATGAAAGCCTAAAGAGCACTTGCATTTAATTTCATCCTAAACATTATACAAGAATAAAATCTCAAGTTAAAGTTTTAATGCAATGTATACTAGTGAATTAATAACTGAGTTCAGTATGATATAATTCAGTCAAAGCTCTTCTGGGTTTCTATCCTGTACATGAAAACAGAATAAATGCTTTCTTTAAAGACAGAGATGTGATGACCAGAGGCCTGTGCTCAATGGGTAAACAAATAACAAATATAGTTGCTGAAGGATAACATTTCTGAGGGAAGAAGGAAAATAAAAGAATCAATGAATCCATACTGCAGGGTTAAAGTTTAATTTTACAAATACTTGCTTAAATGTTTGCATTTAAGTTTAAATGTAATAGCAAACTTTTCGCTATAGAGAACAATGAACAGAAAATACCAGAGGGAAAATCACTTACTCATTAGTTTTGATTAGTGAAAATAAGTATTTTTGAAAGAGAAGCTAATAGGCAGAGTTTTAAAGTTTCAAAAACAGCTTAGGAAAGAGCATAGTTTCATGCATGGATTCCTACATCACTGTAATGCACACAATACAAAATATAGAATGATATGCAATATCCTGATGCTTTATAACTTCAGATTAACCATTTTGAATTGTTACAATCTAAACCTTTAATGCTGATAACAGTGCCACTAGAATGCAGAATGTTTACATAATACAAAATTCATCCACTCAGTGCTATATTTTATATTATACATACATATAATATTTTATATTATACATGGGATTTACCATAGAGACAAGTAGTTAACAGTCTCAGTGATGCACTCTTATTCCTTCAATCAGTCTCAGAGCCAAGAAATTTTCAGCTTGGAAAGAGTTTAACTGAATGGTATTGACATGAACAGCAAGGTAATTTGGATGTTTATAACATTAGCATTCATATGATTAACTGTTAAAGCTACAAAAGTTCCTTTTGGCAGGTAGCTTGCAAATGTCTGTTCTGTTCCTGTACTTAGTATTTTTTATGTTCAGCCTAAAATTACGTCACTGACCTTATCCAGAAAGCGTAGTATTGCTTTTTGTTGATTCTCCTCATCTGCATTTAGTTTGTGTTTCCCAATGGAAGCAATCAGCTGTGTCTCTTGTTCCAGAAGTCCACAAAATGCTGCCTTTCTTTCAGCCCCAGTAAGAGTTCTGTTAATCCTCTCAGTCTCCTTCTGCCTCCATACTACAGATACAAATATTTGGGGTATTTTTATAGGGTGTTTTCTAGTGAAACTTCTACTTCCATATTTAAGAAATAACATAATTAATTTTCAGTATTCTTTAAAAGCCAGCTTCTATGATAGAGAATTGTTTGTTACACATATTTTCAATACATGTAAAATGGCCCAGAAATGGATGTAAATTATACAGGTGTTCTGTGAGAGTGTGTGTACATCAATTCCAGACTGCCAATTTGTACTCCAAACTCAAAGATGGGTTAGGAGAGAAAGGACCTCTGTGTCAGAAAAATAATTTAGCTCCTGTGGAAATGTGTGATAAAACGATTTCTTCATGATTTTGCATCTAAAATAACTGTTTGAGACTCAAACAGCTCCAAAAGGTATGAGCAATAGGAACTTTTTAAACAATTGCTCATCAAACTCACAAGAAAAAGTTCTGTGGAGATCTTCTGAACAGATTAAGGGCAGCATTTTACTGTGGTACCACTACTACTCAGTGCTGAGAACATTACTGCTTCTCCCTGCATAAATGAGTAAAATTTAAAGAAACTTGAAGTCTTAAAGAACTGAGATAAAACTTGACTGACAGTCATGTTAAGCACTCCAGGTCCTACACTGAATATTTGAGCTCTATCATCTTTTTCCATCTAAGCTGGATGGATGTGCATTAATAATCAGACAGTCATTGCTTTTCTCTCCCTTTCCTCTTCTGCAACAGAAGCCTTCAAGTGGCAGTGGCATGCAAGCCACAAGATAATAATGACAGCAGCAGGTGAACCAGTACACGCTATAGAAGAATTTGACTCCTAGGGTGAAATCACCAAACTGCAGGTACCTGCTGGACTTAGAATTATAAGTTAGACTATTTAATGACAGAAACATACAGATGTATACGTATGTGTCTATCATGTTTATTTTGTAGTACCCATTCTTTGACTATAACTGCTGATAGACAGACTATACGCCCTTACAGAAATCTGTTAGTAAAATCAAACTGTGCTTACTGAATAGTGTTTTCCTTTGCATACATTGTAACAACTCTTGGCTTTTCTGAAGAGTCTGTTTCATTACAAATACATCTCAAATTTTGTAGGGAATTTTATAAGATCCAACACATCAGCACTCTTGAATAATGTCTCAAAATGTTGTTATTGTTCCAGAACAGTTATGCAAAAGCAAAACCCAATGTAAAGAAAACAATCCAATAAGTGATGGACACTTACTGAAAAAAACTGTAACATCCTGCATCAGGTAAGATTAGAGGTAGGAGGAGGAAAAGAAGGAAGGTTTCTTTTCTGCCTGTGGCTTCCTTATCTACAGTACCTTATGTTTTCCATTTTAAAATATTTCAATTCATTTCCTTAAGGCTCTCCAAGCTTTGGTATTAATATGACAGCTGTCTGACAAGTTCTGAGTACTCAAAGATATATTTTTAAATAAAGCCATTTCAGCAAACAAAAGCACTGTATACAATTAATTTACATGATGCTTTATATGCCTGAAGGGGGCAGCAACTTCAAAGATAGAGCTAATAAATACAGTAAGCAATTCTGTACTTAGAGAAATGAAGAAGCTGCCAGTTATCATCAATACTCACCTCCTGATTCACCAGAAATATGCAATCAAGTTAAAATCATTCCTCTTAGATTATCTGTTTTACAGATAGAGATTTTACTCATTATATATTCCAATTTTTATAAAATTAATTAGTTCATGCTTTTCAAATAAATAATCATTGTCTCTATATGCAGACACACTGAATGTATGGATACCTCTCATTTGCATCATACATTCAACAGGCATGTTTTTGTACCAACAGGAATTGTTTGTACTGGCTGACCCGGTAATAGTATCTCCCTGTTGTGATCAGCAGCACTAACCTTCACAGATCTCTAGAGGACAATAGTCTTATTATATTACTGTCACAATGATTTAGCTTGTGTAGACTGTTGACACTATAAGAATGTAAAAGTAGTTTCAGATGCAGGTAGGAAAAAAAAACTTCCTAGAACCACTAAGCTCTATTAAAATAAAGAGCATGACTGCAAGTGTCCATGTAAAGGAGCTACTAGTCAACACCAGTAAATAAGAACAAACTAAAAAGATTTACATCAGACCATTATTTTTAAGAAAATGTTAAAAAGTAATTTCTAATACTGGAGTTTGTTCTGTTCCAGTTTTGAAGTGGCACATACTTTTTCAAGTTGCCTAGATACTAAATTCCTGAACATGAAAAGCTGAAAGTTTTATTATCTGTGAATCCAATGAGATTAAATCAAGCAAAAGAGACACTTGTATAACCGTGCATTTTAAATCTAAAAATATTTGGAATATCAGCACTCATTCACAACTTTAACTCAGCTTTGTTGCTTCTATTGCAAATAAGAATCACTATACTTTAAAAAAAAAAAAGTGGATCATATATTTGATAGGTAATTAACTAGGAAGCAGTTTTTAAAGAAAATATTGCAGGAAATCAGATACCAAATAGTAGCACTTGCCATAAGTGGAGAGGAAAAAAATGATTATCTGAATACCTTGGGTTTTGATTATCCAGTCAGGCACACCTTTAAAAGGGCTTGATTCTTATGAAGTGAAAAGCTAACTAGCTATTAAGAAAAAGGGGGGCAGGGCAAACAACCCCTAACAAACCACAAATCTCACAAAGATACCATTCCCAAAATTCTAAAGTTTAAGACCAGTAATAATTTTTACATTTGTCACAGACAGTAACATTTAGAAGCCATTTATACATTCAGACAATGCCACACAAAGTATGACAGTAAAGATTAAAAGATTAGCACATAACTTGGGAATTCTGGACTCTTGATCCTCAGCTCTATAACATATGCCACCAAAGTGATTATTCTCCTGCAAGTTATGTCAATTACCTGCAGTATTCTAGGAAAGTTCAGAGGTGCTTGCCTATATTATACGCCATCCACTTCAACAGGAAAAGTAAATCTTTCAGGATGCCCTGTAGGACTCCTAGCAGATTTTAAAAATTTTGACAACACAGTTTTGTGAAACATGGAATAAATTAGAATAGAGAAAAAGCAGGAGAAAGTGGCTAGGACAAAAGGAATAACCTCAGTGGTATATTGTAAAACGCTGGACAAAAATTTAATCCATTATAAAAATGTCTACATTAAATTATGAATTATAGATATTAATTGTAATCTCTTCATGGTATTATTTTCAGTATCCTAATTGAAGAGTAAAAAACATTAAAATAACTCTGATCAAAAAAACTCCAGTTCCTGCTCCTCTAGTTGACCTTAGCATTAGAGATTAATCATTTTTAAAAAGAATAAAACTGCCAAATAGCATTATTCTATGAGCTGATTATTTCCTAAAAAGTTGTGCTGGTTTTGGCTGGGATAGAGTAAATTTTCTTCATAGAAGCTTGTATGGTGCTACATTTTGGATTTGTGATTAAAACAGTGTTGATGACATAGGGATGTTTTACTTACTGCTAAACAGTGCTTACACAGTGTAAAGGCCTTTTCTGCTTCTAGTAATATATGAAAGTCAAAAAATTATGTAAAAATTAAAGAAAATCCACTGTAAGTCAAAAAAATCAAGGAAGTATCTAACTTGAAACAGAAACATGTTAAAATCACAACAGTTTGTTTTAAACAAACTGCACTCTTTTACTGATTTGAGAGCATCCCTTTAAGAAAAAAAACTTACATTGTAAAGCATGGTACAGGAGCTCAAAGTCTTCTTTTGTTTTAGGGTTCAGTCTTCGTTCCTGTTCCCTTCTCAGTTTTTCTTCTTTCTCTTTTTTTTTCCGTAACTCTTCTTGTGCCTCCCATTCCAGCCTTATCCTCTTTTCCTCTCTCAGATTTTGTACTACATTTATAGCATACCAACGACGGAAATATTTCTGTAATACTATTACCTAGATGTGATACAGTACCAAAGAATCATAAATCTAAAACAATACAGCATAATATTTTTTTCTTAACTGTCATTTTTTCTAGCTAACTACATATTCTAAATTTTGTCTTGTACTCTAATTTAAATGTTACAACGACAGTTATATATATATAACTATAGTATATATATATATACTATTAGTCTAAACACAAGTATGCTTCCTTATTTAAGTAACTGCAAGAGTCTAACCAGTGAGTACAGTGGAGAAGCTAGGTTCAAATAATGAAGTTAAAGTATAAACTGCAATTACAAAATCTATTTTTCTTTTTTCAAATCTCTCCTTAAAAAACATCTTTTGCCATGTATTGTTTTTATTCTTTTCTCTCCATCTCTGTGGACAGAGATCCCCACTTTATTATTCATTTATATAATGTCTAGAATGGGAATTTAGACACATATTTGCAAAATTTCTTTTAAATTTCTGAATGAAAAAATCAACATTCATACAGTCAAAATCAACTTCACATTATTTGTAAACAAATTATGAAAGTGAAATTACCTGTGCTGTTATGACAGAACTTAAAGAAAAATTTTAAAAAAGACCTTCCAAAGCTGTGGGCATTAAAGACCAGGGAAACATCTATGCTAACTTAAGGGATCACAATGCACAACTGAGCTCTCACCAGCTGAGAGCTTGTACCACGAGCAGTTCCATACCACAAGCTAACAAGCATTGACTTGCGTTGAACGCTATCAAGCACAAAAGCACACTAATACAGTTATACTGTCTCTAGAGGTATCTTAACCTAACATTTCTCTTGAATATGTCTTGGGCTAATATTTCAATATGGAACTAGACTGCACTGTGCAAATCCATCAACTTGAACCAAAACCAAGCTGATGTTTTTCTACTGTGCATTACGGATTGCCTACAGATATGTTACAGATTTCAGTAAGTGGCAATAATGATCACAGTAAAACACATTGGCAGTCCTGAGGAAATGGTTACCTGTTTGGGTTCCACTTCTACAAGAGACTTATTGCTGTCAGCTGTTGCTGACCAAATAAGAAGTTCTTACAGAGAACTTCTACCTAGAAGATATCAAAGCATATTGCCAATCATGTCAAAACAATTATTGTACCTGGACATGTGAGAAACCAACTGTTTCTCCATTTAGTTATATCCAGACTCTCTATTCTAAGAAATCAAATTAGTAATTAGACCATTTACAAAGCAGTTGGGTGTACTTAATTTAGGTGTGCAGTCATTGAATGTGTAGTTTTCAAAAAGCACTTTGAAATGCCATGGCATCCTCTGCACTATGACTATACAGAAACTGTCATCAGAATTGCCTGCGTGAGGTGACTCAGTGCACCACAAAACTCCACAGGCCCATTGCATGTGTTCTACCTTAATGGCAAAGCAGGAGCTTGAACACAATCCAAAACAGCACAGTATGCCAAAGGTAAACTGTCAGGCCTGTTAAAACAAATAAACAAACCCGAAAACCACAAAACCCATAAGCTGAATGCAGGTCTCCTAAATCCTAATGCAACATGTTACCCATCTGAGGCCATACATTAAGCAAGTAGAATAAAAAAATCATAGAATGGTTTGGATTGGAAGGTAAGTTTGAAGGTCATCTCATCCAACCCATCTGCAGCGGGCAGAGACATCTCCAACTCGATCCGGTTGCTCAGAGCCCTGTCCAACTTGATCTTGAATGTTTCCAGGGATGGGGCATCTACCACCTCTCTGGGCTACCTGTTTCAGTGTTTCACCACTTTCATTGTGGAAAAATTCTTCCTTATATCTAATCTGTAGTTTAGGTCCTTCTAAAGAGATCATGAGAATGCCATAGGGACAAACCTAATTTATTCCGTGATGCTCTATATGGAAGCTTAACTGTCACTGTAAGACAGAAACCAGTAAAATCACAATTCTTAATAGTTAAGAAACCACATGGTCTCAAATGTCATTAAAAACATTAATACTGTAAATAAGCAGACATACACTTCCCCCATATCTGAAAGATTATGCAATATGAAGATTAAGCAGACATTTTGCAGCTCACTGTTAAATTCACTCTTTGAACACTCGGAACACTCAGAGTGAATATTCAGACAACCTTCGTAATATTTTGCTTTACAGATACAGTTTCAAACAGATGAAAACTTACTGCTTCAAGTCTACGTTTATGGTATTCTTCCGCTGTAAGATATTTTCCAGGACTTATGAGTTTGTCAGTTCTGTTTGACACATAAAGGCCAGGTTTAGTCATCTGTGTTGATGTTGTATTTTTTGTCTGTTGTGGCTTGTTTTTTTCAAAAACCGTCTGTGGGGAAAAAAAAGCATGTCAGACTATAACAAAATATACAGAGATTTTTTCCCCTCATTGCAGTAAGTGGCAAAATTAGCTATTTGTAGCAAAAGTCACAAGACTAATGATATTCATTTCTTATCTACTTCCTCATTCCTATTGGATATAATTGTGTCAACATTCTCTTGTTTGGCAATAACAACATTCTAAAAAGATACTACAAAGTCATT